TCTCTCACTTCTCTACCTGTCAGTTAAAAACTACATCATAACTTACAAGTTTGAGTGACGCGCATGTACAACGACCTCCGAAAGGCCTCCGACGTTTTTACTCTTGTGCAATCGAGTGGGATCATATAAATTGATTATCGCGTATCATGTTTATTACGACTATTATAAAATAGATCGAAATAAACAAAGGAAAATCACAATTCACGAAACAGACATCCTTTATTCTCCGCGGAGCATTTTTATCGACAATCACGCCTCACGGCTGTAGAACAAATCACATTTCGCGACACTAAAATCAAGCATTTCACATTTCACGCGAACAAATATTGACTATTCACGGCTCACGAAAATACCCTTTGGCCTTTCCCACCCTCTTAAAACTCGACGGCCTTTGCCGCGTATATGAAACAACTAAACAAGACAGCATATAATTTCAATCCTCTCTTCTCCGCAGAGGCTTTAGTTTTCTTAGGATTTAATATTACGATGAAATACATTTCACTACTCTTTACATGGCGGATCTTGGAACACGAGCGTAGCCGCTGGGCGTAGGAGCGCAGGCGGCAAAAGAGAGATTTCAATAAGTGTACGTATCTTTAATATTGATTCCCTTTTGTATTATATTGAATTTTTTAAATAAAAAAGAAAGTAAAGTTATTTGCATGCGAGAATTTGAAATCATTTTATTGCAAACTCAAAGTTTATCGATAAAGCCATTTAATTATTAATATTAGTTTGGTTTTATGATGGATTGTAAAATAACGAACACTTTAAAACGTTTTGCGAAGCATTTGTGGTTGAATTTTACCTTAAATTGAAGCTTATATTACGTATTATCATACCTAACATATATATGTTGGGAAATTGATAATTTTGTAATTAAAAGTGATATTTTTAGGCGATTTTTCATTTGTAAGAATATTCTTAAAAAAATATTGTGTTACCATAACAACTAATTTAGATACTTCATGTTCGGAAAATACAATGGTTTTGTCAGCTAGGCGAGGGTTTCTGCATGCATGTATTTTCTAGTATTCTTATAATTCCATTGAATTGTTGTTATTTGGAGACGGTATAAAGTTTGCATTGATTTGCCGTTGCTAAATAGAGGTCTCAAAAGCGACTGTGCATGTAGCCCGTCGTAGCGCCTAATTGGCGGTCTTACAGCAAACGTTATACACATTTTGACACTAGCTAAATAGACAGTGAATGCCCATTTCAATCTATTGATTCTAAAACCGTTTATAGACATAGTGCTCTAGATTTAAAAAAAAGTTGTCATCGTTTATATTAAACACCAGGGGCCAGTTGTATAAAAAAGTGATTAAAGTTAACTATAGTTAGTGGAAACGTCATCCAATAAGAAGCGCGTATTTGAGAGTTAATCATTATTTAACTACAAAATAGTGATTAAAAAAGTGATTAAGAGTTTTATACAACCGGCCCCAGGTAGGAAAGAGTGTTAACATGCAACTAATTGTTAGGTATCGACAGTGCACATTTATACGACAATTCACAACTGTATGTATTTCCCTTTTTGTCTGCATGAGTACCTGTATGTTGAAGCCAAAATATTGCACAGCATTTCCGATATAATTCTATCGCCATTCACCCTCGCCCCTTGTTCTTGAATGCAAAGGTACTACCATATATACTAAAAGGTATAAACTATAAAGTACAATACCTGTGTCTGGTGCATGTATGATGTATCGTCCTAAATATTCAAGTTGTACCGCATGCACGGAAACGCACGGAGGAGTCATAATTGGCGTTCGTGTGATAACAGACTGACAGATAACAGATAACAGATAGCTATACTTCGACATAATTATTTTTGATCGTTGATGGTTTCAGCAATGTAAATGCAGGGAATCAGTTTACAGACTATAACGAGTGTATCTAAAAGTCGAGGGTCGAGAGTCAAGAGTATAGGTCGAGAGTCAAGAGTATAGGTCGAGAGTCGAGAGCAAAAAGTCGAGAGTCGACAGCAAAAAGTCGAGAGTCAACAAATGTCATCAGAAACAATCGAAATTCAAATCAAAATATTTTTAACACAATATATAGCCGTTCCGTAACAACGGCTGAACTACAAACTTTCGCATAAATATAGCTACAACAGTCAATAATAATAACATGAACAAAAAGACTGGCTAAGAAACTAATATCACATGTGATGCCTCCATCTTGCTAAATTTTTTAACATGTCATTTTATCAAATTTTGCTGCGTTTCAATCTAACTGACACATGCATAAACGGCCCCTCCGCTGACTGATTTTGACAGCCAGCTCCGGGCTTGTAATTAGTGTTGCACTACATTTCAAGCGAGAAGCTGCATGGATCGTTTTCACTTGCAAGGAAAGGACTCCAGGCGCGCCTGGCTTGCTGTAGAAACATACATATCCGTCTACACTGACTGATCGATCAAACGAATGATATGGTTGTTTATAGTTGAAGTGTATTTTGTCCGATATTCAAAGTGAAGGATTTATTTTATAACGGAATCCTTTGACTTCCCAAACATCGCCAACTGTGTGTAAACAATGCTATCCTGACTTTGAAGTCTTTGAAAGCACGGATCCGGAAATGACGGAATTAAAACCCGTTATAGTCGAGTGTATCTGAAAGTCGAGGGTCGAGAGTCGAAAGTATATAGGTCGAGAGTCGAGAGTAAAAGTCGAGAGTCGAGAGTGAAAGTCGAGAGTCGACAGCAAAAAGTCAAGAGTCGACAGCAAAAAGTCATCGTTTCAGTCTAACTGACATATAAACGACAAAATAATCCTCTTTTTACTGGGCTCGTATGTATAAGTTCACAATTGTATGAATCGAATGCTCAACTAGAATACTTCATACGCTCTCGTTTAATCATAAACGTACGTTAATTAAATGACATTTTGCCCTCAGATCAATTTCAATTTATCACGCAAAATCTGCGTGACATGTGACCAGCTCCGACCAGGGTTTTTCCTCCGCAAGAGGGAAAAGCCTGGGAACGAAGTTGGCTTTTCTAAAAGTATCGATCAAACGGATCAATACTTTCTGTAGAAAAAAACTCAGCCGTGAGATTTGTTCGTATGCGACGTTCAAAAGACTTGGATACATCGCTCATTGCCTACTAGGTTTATGGTTTAGTTCTTTGTTGCGAAGGGAATGGAATGAAAATTCAACTCTTGTATAGTCTTGTATAATGACTAAAAGTTTGTTAGCACACAGGCGGCCCAATCTTGCAAGGGTCAGTATAGTAACGTAGCTATATAATTATTATTACAGTAAAAATATGTCATAAAATATATATTTAAAATCAAATTTACTTGCCTAGCTATTTGATAGTGTGTGTTCTCCTTTTATTCCTCTTTTGTTGAATTAATATTTTCCGAAACTTTGTAATCGATAGTTGCGGCCGCTACTAGTATACATAATACATGATTAAGGCAAACGACTTCCGATCGTCGATCCGTCGGCACAAGCACTTCGAATCGAAATTTCTCCCCCTCAAATCGCTTTATTCTCAAAAAAAATTCGCCAGCATGTACAACAGACGCCGTTCTTCAAAAATATTGGGATGCTTCGACGAGATGTATATGTATAAGTTTTGGACCATATTTTAACAATGGAAATCAAAATTCATTATATATTGAACTTACAAAGTCAAAGACCGACGATTACTACCGCGAATGCCTGGGCAACCTGGCCTCCTTTACCGTTGGAGTTACAGGGGAGGGGAGGATGACGCTGCTTGCCCACAGCATGCAAATACCAAAAAGCGGGAAGTACAATGGGAATATTGTTGGACTGCATATAGCACGTATGTTATAATAAGAAATGTATTTATATTAAAACAATTTATGATGTCTGTAACATCCGGGAGCTAGTGTTTCCGGCGGGAAAAACAGGGACCTCGAGGAGAACTAGAGAGCTGTACTCGAATGGAGTTTCACTTAGCATACACGGCAAAAAACGCCGAGCCCACTGCTTAACAGGATTGAACAATGTTTTGCTGCCCACGTTATTCACACTTGTCAACAATATTGAACAATATTGTTGAGCCTGAATCGGGTGTAACAACATTGTTCAATATTGTTGACAATTGTGAACAATGTGGGCAGCAAAGCATTGTTTAATCCTGTTAAGCGTTTTTTTCCGTATAGTTGTGTTTTAAGGTCAAAATACTTCATTTGGCGACGAGATAAAATAGCAAGTCATAGAAAACTAGAAGAATATGACTCACAAGAGGAATTGAATGGAGTCAGTATATTGAGGCGGTTGGAATTTTACTTTGAAGCAAATTGCGTGGACGACGAATTCAAAGATAAACAACGAGCGATACTATTAAGTGTTTGTGGTAGTAAGACGTATAAGTTGATTCGGAACTTAACCACGCCAAGAAAACCGTCAGAGAAGACGTAGACGTTTGCTGAGCTGGTAGAACTCGTACAACAGCATCAACACCCAAAACCTTCGGCAATAGTGCAACGATTCAAGTTTAATGCTCGGTTCAGGAAACCTGGAGAGTCAATTGCTTCGTATGTAGCTGAATTAAGAAGTCTTTCAGAACATTGTGATTTGAAGAGTACTTTAGAAGAGATGTTACGTGATCGGTTGGCTGTGGAGTAAATGACGAACAGATTTAGCGTAGATTGTTAGCAGAAAGTTCTCTCGACTTTAAGAAAGTCATGAAAATAGCTACATCAATGGAGACTGCAGTAAAGAATGCACGAGATTTAACACATCAGATGGTCAATGCAAATATAAATACTGAGAAACCTGCAACATTACACAGTGTAGACAACCAAAGACAAGGAAACCAACCATGGTTAAAGCCTGAATGTGATCGGTGTGGGGGGTAAACATGATCCTCAACAATGCAAAATTCGCGATGCTGAGTTTTCCTGTGCCACAAGAAAGGACACATGGCAAGAAAATGTCGAAACAACACTGAGGCTACTGGAAAAATCAACGAAACGACAACCCTAACTCAGTAACTAGCAGCAACAATTTAAACATGAAGGATGACGAGATCGAAGAGAAAGACGATAACTATGGGATTTATAGTCTGGGCAAAGCACAAGCTGAGCCATATGTTGTTGATGTTCTCGTGAGCAATGAAAGTCTAAAGATGGAAGTAGATACTGGTGCTGCAGTTAGTATAATGAATGAGGATACATATACATTACTTAAGAAAAAACACCCAAATCTAGAGCTGAAGGAATCAAAGGTAAGACTAGATACCTATATGGGAGAGCAAGTTAAAGTGTTGGGTCAGGTGGAGACTTCGGTAAAGTATGAAGATCAAGAAGGCGTATGCCGGCATTTACTAGTCAACGGGGAAGGGCCCTAACTTGATTGGCAGAAATTGGCTCCAAAAGATTAAAATAAATTGGAAGAATTTATTTCAGTTAAAAGAAGACAACAATATCTCAGTCAAAGTTAATAAGTTACTTGAGAAATATGAGGAAGTGTTTCATGAAGAGTTAGGAACATTTTCTGGTCGCAAAACCAAAATATATGTGGCTGATGATGCAAGTCCAAAGTATTGCAAGACAAGACCTGTTTCCTATGCATTGAGGGGAAAAGTAGAAAAGGAGTTAGAAAAATTGCAAGAAGAGGGAGCTATAGAGCCTGTCCAGTTTGCAGATTGGGCAGCGCCAATCGTATCAATCGTTAAGGATGATAAGTCGATAAGAATTTGTACGTGGGGATTATAAAGTAACTGTCAACCAAGCTGCAAAGTTAGACAATTACCCGATTCGCAAGGCAGAAGATCTTTTTGCCACTTTAAGTGGTGGAGAGAAATTCACCAAGCTGGACATGAGTCAAGCCTATCAACAAATCTTATTGGATGATGAATAAAAAATATATACTACAATCAACACACACAAAGGACTTTTTCAGTACAATCGGTTGCCATATGGAGTGTCGTCGTCCCCTAGGATTTTTCAGCCTACTGTGGAAAACCTACTGTAGGGGATTCTTTTTGTAGTTCTGCGAGTGGATGATATTTTGGTTTCTGGTTCGAATGATGAGGAACATGTAGCAAATTTAGAAGAGGTTCTAAAACGGTTGTCAGACCATGGGTTACGCCTAAAGAAGAAGAACTGCGCCTTCATGGTGAACGAGGTGATGTATTTAGGCCAGAAGATAAATAGCCAAGGAATGCAACCAATCCAAGAGAAAATCAGAGCCATCACCGATGCAACGGCACCGATGAATGTGTCTGAAGTGCGATCATACATGGGAATGATCAACTATTACCAAAAGTATTTACCAAATTTATAAACGATTCTGGCACCACTGCACAGCCTGTTGGAAAAAGCTAGGGAAAAGGTGTCAAGAAATTTCACCAGTACGTGTATGGTCCACATTTTACTATACTGACAGATCACAAGCCGCGTGAGCTGGTACTTCATCCAGATAAAATGACACCACCAATGGCTGCAGCTCGAATTCAGCGGTGGGCAGTAATTTTGTCTGCCTATGACTACGCCATTCTTGGGGAAAATGTTCCTCATCATGGTCGATGCGTACTCAAAATGGCTCGAAGTGCATCGTACGAATGTGGCAACATCGAGAGCATAGGCGTACCGGGCGGGGGGGGGGGCGGTAGCCCGCCCCCAGTTTTTTGGGCAGTCGGGCAATATTCGATCAACAGTCGGGCAATTTTTGTTAGTTATAAAAATAAATTGGACAAATTCTGTCAATTTTGTCGAAAATGTTGTTAATTTTGTGGGAAATGTATTTTTTTGGAAAATTTGTGCGATGGTACGAAAAATTTTGGTATGTCCGGAAAATTTTTTTGACCCCTAAAATGGTACACTGACCAAAAATTTTTTGGCGGGACGTCGCCAAAATAATATTTCCGGAAAAAAATTTTTGGTACTAGTCGGGCACAATCACGAAAAGTCGGGCAATTTTTTTTCCGCCCCCCTAAATTTTTCCTTCCGGTACGCCCATGATCGAGAGCAACAAATGAAAAACTTCGAGCAACATTTGCAATCCACGGCCTTCCTACAACAATCGTTGGTAATAACGGTAGTAATTTTTGCAGCGAAAAATTCGAGGAATGTCTGGCGAAAAACGGTATTCATCACATGCAGAAGGACTGCTCCTTATCATCCAGCCTCCAATGGACTTGCAGAAAGGGCTATCCAGACGTTTAAGGAAGGGATGAAGAAGATGTCAAATAAGGAAAGTTTGGAAACCAGAGTGTCTTGGTTTCTCTGCAAATACCGTATCACGCCACAGTCAACCACAGGGATAGCGCCAGCGGAATTGCTTATGAGCAGAAAACCAAGATATCGCTTGGACGTACTGTACTACATCCATATGTAAGACAAAGAGTACAGACTGGCCAACAGAAGAAGCAGAAAGAGTTAAACGATCAACATGCAGTGGATCGACAATTACGGCCAGGTGCATGGGCGTACCGGAAGGAAAAAATTAGGGGGGCGGAAAGAAAATTGCCCGACTTTTCGATTTCTGCCCGACTAGTATCAAAAAAATTTTTCCGGAAAAATTATTTTGGCGACCTCCTCCCCCCCTCCCCCCGTCGCCAAAAAAATTTCGGTCAGTGTACCATTTTAGGCGTCAAAAATTTTTTCCGGACAACCAATTTTTTTCGCAACATAACACAAATTTTCGAAAAATCGCAAAATTTGCCAAAAAATTGACTTAATTTTAGACAAAATTGAAAGAATTTGTCCCATTTTTTTTATTGCAAGCCAAAATTGCCCGACTGTTGATCGAATATTGCCCGACTGCCCAAAAAACTGGGGGGGCTACCGCCCCCCCGCCCCCCCGCCCGGTACGCCTATGGCCAGGTGACTTAGTATATATAGGTGGTGCCGGGAGTTATCAATGCACAAACCGGGCCAGTTATCTATTAACCGTACAGTTGGAAGATGACCGCGAAGTTCATCGTCATCAAGATCAAGTGATCCAGAGAGAAACACCCGAAGCAAACGAAAATGAAGTCATTATTGATCCAGATCTCAACCAGCAACCCGTTCCAGACCAACAAGTGGTTAGCGAAGAAAATGCAGTTCCATTTAGACTATATAAAACACTAATGAATTAAACTGTTATGTTAGAGTGTTTACATTATTACTTTAGTTGTTATGTTGCAGGTTTTGACTCTGGTTTTAATCCAGGAAAGAAGGAGTTTAACATCCAGGAGCTAGTACTTCCAGCGGGAAAAACAGGGACCTCGAGGAGAACTAGAGAGCTGTACTTGAATGGAGTATTACTACAATGTCTATTTATAATATAGCATTTGTAAATTCTGAACGCTGATTGGCTAAGAGCCGTGTTGACATAACTCCATGTCAACACGGGAAATTTTCCGTCGCTTGTAAACACGGAAATTTTTCTTATTCTCCGGGCTTTTGACATTGCTATATTATAAAACAAATATAAAACATTTTTTCCGTATTGATATATAGTTATATCAACACTCGTGGAAGTTGGGAAAACTCGAAATTGTATGAAAACACTCCGCCCTTCGGGCGTCGTGTTTCCACACAATTTCTCGTTTTCCCAATTTCCACTCGTGTTGATATAACTGTATATCAACACGGAAAATGTTTTATATTTGTTAAATATCATATTTCAAATTAACCTTTAATATAACGATCATATTTCGAATTAATATAACCCCCCCCCCCACCCTGTAAATCCCAACGGTAAAGGAGGCCTGATTGCCCAGGCATTCGCGGTAGTAATCGTCGGTCTTTGGAAGTTCAATATAAAATGGATTTTAATCCCCGAGCCAATGGCGGGGAGCACCGTTCTAGGCTGCAATGTGATACCTTATTTCCCATCCTCCCCTGCACGCATAAACTAAAAGCTGGAATTGCCTATTGGCGTTGTAATGCCATTGTATACAATAAAGTATTGGGTTGTAATGCATGAGTCAATTCCTGGATAACCATCCCCCCCCGGGACACCCCCGGGAATTTGCCCGATAGACGGTTCACGGGGGTCGGGAATTTGCCTTTCATATATGTGCACGGGGGCCGGGTATTGGAGGACCCCGGGGATTTGACAAATGGTTGACCAAAATCCCACACACAAATTTTAAGGCAGCAAAACCTAGTTTCAGGCACGCATGTGGGCGCGCTGATCGTATTTTGCGCCCTCGTGGTCAAGGTGGCGTGAAACTTTAATATTGTAAGAATAAGCGAAAATTATACCCCGTGCCATGCAAATTTAAATACAACTATTAAAGGTTTATGTTTTATAATATTCCATAGCAGTTTAATACTATGTAATTAAATGACTATGATTATATGCCATTAAAAGTTTAATTAACGTTTACAGTCGATTTCACGAAACTTTGACCACAAATTTTCCGAACTTCGTTGCGAAGTTCACAAGATTGTTGCCAAGTTCAAAAGTTCATAATGAGATTCACAAACCAGTTCGTAAACTACGCATTTGATTGGCTTCTTTTACTTCACGGACCAATCAGGGACTTTGTTTACAAATTGGCTTGTGAATTCCAATATGAGCTTCCGAACTTCGCAACGAAGTTCGGAACATTTGTGATCAAAGTTTCGTGAAATTGACTGTAAAATCGTCCCCGGGGTGGGGCATTTTCCACTCTCAGCTTGCCCAGGGGCCGTGCATTAGTCTTCAAGTTGTGTCCCGGCACCCGGGCATTTGCACTATCATAACCAATCTAATCAAATGTCCGGGTGTGTTCCCGGGGGGGATGGTTACTCCTGGAATTGACTCATGCATAATGGCTACAATTAATTTTTTTAATTTTATTTTATTTTCCAAATATGTTTAATCCAAACGTTAATCCAAATCCAAACCCTAACCTTGTTCAATGCTTGTGGTTTTGTCTTCAGTTACAACCCAATACTTTAAAGATGCGGTACAGTCCGTATGTAAACAAAGGCTTTGTTTACATTTCGGTATCCAAAATATACCGAAATGATTCATTTCATGATTCTAGAGTATAATAAATTATCAAGACACAACAATCAAGCTTTGCAAGAACATAAAATAAAATAAAAATCTAAATAAACTGTTTGTATAATAAAAAGAGGGCTCCTTTGTGCACATGCGCAGATCGGACTGTACCCATCTTTAATGCATACAATGGTATTACAACGCCAATAGATATCACAGGGGGTCCAACTAAAAGCTGTGTTATGAGTATGAATAAAACATTAATAAATCGTAATATGAATAAAACATCATAACGTAATATATTTAAATTATTGCACTTACTTGTATAAATCATAAGAGCTTGTATTTCCAGTGAATAGCTTCAAACAGGCGCTTATATATGTTCAGAAACATTCAGTCAAACGATTGTTCAAATATGGCGAATAAATTGACAAAACGAAAAAATGGGAATGGGATTGAGGTAATGCGAGTCGATTTCCAATTTTTCTACGTTTTAAGTATTTTAAAATACAATTTTGGTATCCGTTTTTGGTGTCTTTGGTCATGATTTTTGTTGTTAACTATATTATTCACAGCACTACCTGAGAACAGGCATACCCTGGCGCCCAAAATTCTGGGTTTTCTGATTATGCGTGTCTCAGAATGCTGCAAATGCCATTTCCGGGATTCAAATTAAAAAATTTTCCGTGCCTTTGGCACGAACCTCTCCCAATATTTCATAAAGTGTTCGCCACTTGCACACACGGTGGCTTAAAAGTCTTAAAACTGTTTATTGTACCGATAAATAAAGTTTTTTTATTGACTGGGATTTCAATAACTCGGACTGGGATTTCTAATAAAAATCCAACTGGGACTGGGATTTTGCCAAAATTTCAGGTGGGAAATGGGATTGGGACCCCCTTCAGGGATCTCTATATAAGCGCCCTGTTTGAAGCTATTCACTGGAAATACAAGCTCGTATGATTTATACAAGTAAGTGCAATAATTTAAATATATTACGTTATGATGTTTTATTCATATTACGATTTATTAATGTTTTATTCATACTCATAACACAGCTCATAGTTGGACCCCCTGTGTAGATATTGGTTACAACGTGCGGAACGGGTGCCCTTTCCCCGGGTGTAAATAGCCGGGCGGAATTAGTACCCTCGCCCGGGCTGGCTAGCCTACGGTGTATCTACACCGTAGGCTAGGGCTGGCGGGCTAACGTCACTGAGCTATATTAGGGAGCTTAAGCATCTAGGACGGCAACACGACGACGACGGCCACCAATACAATGAGTCAATGAAAAGAAATAAATAATTAAAGTCCCAGGGGAGTTTCAGACGTGGTCGTCGTTCTGTTTACAACGGCAAATCACAGATTTTCACGTCTTTTATACAACGCTTGCATATCAAGCCGTAACAAGTGCAACTTAAAATTCGGTCAGTAGAACTCTTCCCAAACATAAAGCCAATGTTTTCAGCCTCTTATACTGTATTAAATTCATACGAATTATAATATATGACAAGTTTTTTGTTTTGGCGGTCGTCGTGGTGTTGCCGTCCTACATGCTTAAGCTCGCTACTATATATTTCAGTGGCTAACGTCCGGAACGACGCTCTGCGCCGTTTGGCCAGAACCAAAGGAAATTTAGCTTTCTTAAATGGAGACACAGTAACCATAGTAACCGCAAGCCGAAAGCCGCCATTTTATAAAATAGAAACATGCCGGACGAAAAGGTTGGTTTTATGACTTTTATCCTGGTTTTATATTAAATGTTTGACTTCGCACAACTTTCATTTCGAAATTTCAAGAAGATTAAATAGATAAATGAGCGAACGTTTTTATTTTGCAGGATATAAATTCCGACGAGCCAATGCACAATACAGATGTACGCCAGAACGATATCACAGAATTACATTTTGGGGAACGGTAAGACCAAGTGTGATATTCTTTAAAATGTATTTCTGGAATTTCATGGACAATTTTGGTTTATGACAGTAAATATGTGGCAGTGTAGGTAATTGTAAACATGTCAGGTAATTGGTAACAATTACCTTCATTTGATTAAACAGTCTTTAGACGTAGCAAGAATATCTGAAATTTAAAATGTTCTTGGCTTCATTCAATTTAATTCAGTATTGTTTTCGTTGTCTGTACAGATGGAGGGTGTGCTCATCGACTCATGGTCATGGTTTAGGGTACAACCGTTGACCAAGTTCGTTTGCCAATGTTAAGGGGGGTGCATCCCCCTGGGCAGTAAATTCATCCCTGCAGGTAAGCAAGAGCCAGGTTGGAATCGATGCAGCACGGCCGCCACATATTTTACGCCAAGAAAATATGTATAGATTTTTGTACGCCAGGCTAAAAAAATATAAAACTTCCTGACGTTGTTCGAGATATTGCACTATGTAGTCGCATGAGCACGGTAATAACTGTAATACATCGCGTTTTTAATATATATAATAATATAAACGTTGTTCATGTGTTACAAAATGCTGTTACTTTTATTGCACTATTAACATCGATGCAGATCTTTTACACTGCATCCAGAGGTGTAACTTAACACTTGCCCAGGGCAAGTGAATAATATGACGAGCAAGTAAACGTTTTATCTTGCTTGCCCGATTGGGAAGTTGCCTTGCCACAAAAAGCTGGGCATCTTTAAGTTCATGTTTTCATTGTCAGATAAATTTTTTATAGTGCATGTACTTGATTCAATTTTTTTTGGTGGGCCAAAGCTAGATCTGAGGCAGTATAACATATAGCCATATAGAGCTGCAGTGGGAGAATGGGTTGGCAAGTTTTCCCCTTAATTTATACCCCCTACTTAGGTACCCCAGTGGCAATTGTCTGATGCAAGTGAATTTTATTCAGGGCAACTAATTTTCATGTCCAACTTGAAATAAATTTGTCATAGCCATAGAAACAAATTTGTCATAGCCATTTGGGCAGGCGTTTCCTCTTTTCCCGCCCGTCAGCTAAACGCCTGCTACGCAGGCTACTATTTAGGCTATCCAACAAACCCACTTCTCTGCCCTTTCACAACAAAGAAACACATGATGCCAAATAGATTTATTTATTGCCCTAGTTCACATACTATGTGACCACAATTAGCCTGCCTCGTACCCAGGTGTCTCTTTGTAAAAAAAAGTGATGCATGTATGACGAGTTTACATGAAATATTGTTGGCAAGAGAAGGGTGAAGCCGTGAAGGGGTTGATGAGAAGAGTGCAACAGCCCCTTCGTGCGTCGCCTGCCTGCCTGCCTGCCTGAATACTTCATGTATTATATTTAAAGCGCCTGGGTACGAGGCAGACAATTAGCATTCATGCTATGGTAAATGATATTGTCAATCTACAAAAAAATACTGAATTTATTGTGTTTGACTGTAATTAGCATATATGAGTACAGAGTAATTATATCAGTTTCAGTTCACAATTAAATACTGACAATTAAATTATCTACTAAGACCATGTTCACATGAACCCGGGATAACTTTCTGACCCGAGGCAACTCGCTGTCCCGGGACAACATTACTCGCGTTCATATTGGTCCCGGGACAAGTTCTTTGAATTATGGCAGGAATTAAATAAGTTTGGCGGTAAACGGGAAAATGTAAATATTCACGGATTATGCCTCCAAAAACGACACATATTGTTTTGCTTTGTGCTATTTTAACAAATTTGAGTACAATTATTGCTTGGCCTGCAGCTAAACGTTCATTTGCTACTGTTTCTGAATGAAAAAATGAGGCAGAATGAGCAAATAGCTATTTCTACAATCCTTGATGCAAATCGTTCAACAGAAAGGCTTCATGCAACGTACCAGGCGAAAGCTTTCTGAGCGAAGAAAACACTGGATAAACCCTGGAAGAAAACACTGGATAAACCCTGGAAGAACGTCTTTATGGTGGGAAAACTTAATAAACGGAGAAACACTTGAGGAAGAATGGGTAAAAAAACTTAAGAATGACTAGACTGGACTTTCTAGATTTAGTAGATCACTTGAGAATGGACATTGGACCTGATCTGAATGCAGTTAGGGAATCTTTGTCACCTGAGAAGAAAGTTGCGATGACACTTCATTACCTTAAGGATCAAGGGTCTTACCTGATGACTTGCAATGCCTTTGGGGTTGGCAAGTCAACATTATCAACTGTGGTAAAACAAGTTTGCAAAGCAAGAGAGTAGGCCCAAGGTATTTGAATTTACCCAAAAGTGAAATGGAAATGTCAGTTTTGATTAATAATTTCCATAAAAAGTTTGGGTTACCTCAGGTATTCCGCTGTGTTGACGGAATCCACATACCAATTAAACAGCCAACAGAAAACCCTCATGATTACTTTTGTTATAAAATGAAATTCACCTTGAACTGTCAAGTATATGTGATCATAAAGGACGTTTTCTAAATGTGGAAATTAAATGGCCAGGAAGTGTTCATGATGCTAGAGTTCTGACATCAAATTCTGACATCAACAAAATGTTTCAAAATAAGCAAATTCCAATGGTATTGAAAGAACTTTTGCTTGGTGATGATAAATTTCCCCCAGTTATCTTGGGTGACCCTGCATATACCCACTTTTGCCCAATGTAATGAGGGAGCATGCATGTTGCACTGAAAATGAACATGTGATTTTCAATGAAATGCTAAGATCTGCTAGAAACCAAATTGAGTGTACATTTGGTCGTCTGAAAGCTTAACATATATGTGTATATTATACTATTATTATACAATGTCATAATAGTCAATCAAGCACTCCAAAGTATAACATAGCCCTTATCTGCACCACCTGATTTAGATTGCTGAGTAGCAACCCTTTGGTGATTTATATAGGTTGACTGTGGTACTGGGTACATTGGGGAATCCTGCTAATGGTTGATAATTCACACCAAAGTTCCCAAAGGCTGGATGATTTTGTTGTTGTTGTTGTTGTTGTTGTTGTTGTCGTTGGTGGTGGTTTTGAGATAATGCCTGGGCAAGTAATCCAAATCCCTGAACTAGTCCAGTTCCTAGAGAACTAATCGAGTCCGCCATTTTATTCATTGCACTGTTAATACCTTTGTTTGACTCCAGCAACCCATGGGCAATACTAGTTTTCAACTCAATTTCTTCCTTTGCTGCATTCATAAGAACCATATATCTCTTTGCTTTGCTGACAACTGCTTCTCTAACTTCTTTCTTTTGTTATCGACAAACTTTGGAGTGACTGGAATAATTCTCTTTCTAGAATCAAGTATGGTGTGACTCTCCTCCGATTCCCTGTTGTTCTCTACATCTTGCAATTCTGGCTGCTGAATCTGCGAGTTGGCATCATCCTCTTTCTCGAAGAGACTGTTCATAAATGTTTCCTCATCATCAGTCTCCACTAAAACAGTGCTTAAATTTTCCCCATTGATCTCTCGAGTTGTGCAACCATTGTCTATTGCCTTTGTCGCAGGTGAACGAGCCCAAATTTCCGTTAAATCCTCCCAGTTGTCTCGTATTATTCTGCCACTTCCAGATCTTGTACCAGTGTTTACAGCATTATGATAGTCCTGTCTGAGAGCTTTTATTTTCTCTTTCACTCGATCATACCCTTTTTTAATTGCGCTTTTTCAGCTTTAACTTCGTTTTAAACTCTTTCAATTTTCATTCATCTCCTGCAAAGGCTTTGAACTTTCAGATACTGATACTGGACCAAAATCGCTATCTTCGAAGGTAATCGGCATCAATCTTCGCAATTCTTCGTAAAATACTACGAGATCCGCTTCAAAGTCGACACCCTCGAACTCTTTCTTCGATTTATATTCTTTAATAAACGTTAAAAGGTCTTTTACCATGTCATTTGTCCATTTCCACTTTTTGGTCTTGTTGCCACCACGAGGTTGTTTGGACGCCATCTTGAAAAATATGTATGTTCACATGAGAAAAAGTTATCCCGGCTAGGCGATTGCCCCTGTCTACAAAGGCGAGTCACTCGGGTCGATTCTGGCCCCGGGACAAGAAAAATATCATGTGAATAGCACTATCGAAACTTGTTAATTTAGCTAGGCCATACGCGCAAGATATTATTTGCCCTTTCATGACCAAGAATTCCCAATGGAGACATATTATTAAATACAATATAAAAATATGCAACCTATTCGAAAATATTTCAACGAGTAACGTAGAGAGACTTCTAAATGCGGTTCTTGTCGTGAAAATCGTCGAACTACTCCGAAAAATGTCGCTTTGACCCATGTAGTCCATGTAATATTGTTGACCAGATCGTTTCAGCCGAGTTTTTAGGGACCGGTCATAAAGTAACTGCTAGGGTGGGCTGGAGGTAAATCACAAATTTTGCCAATAAGTTTGGTGACCCATCTTAGCAGCCTCGTACCCAGGCGCTTTGGTTTTTTACGTCATTAAGTGCACGTGGGACGGCACGCGAGGAAGAAAAATGGAAAATTCGGCGGGAAGCGCCTGGCAGAATTCGCATTCAAAATGGCGGGTCAGTGTTCTGCAAGTGTTCTGTATTATTTATATTATTATTGAAGTGACATTGTTTACAGCAGAATACGGGTTCGTACATTGCCAGTACTCTTTGGAGTGCAATATTTAACTTAAACTTTTAATAGTTTGCTTTGTTCATACTGTTTTAATATTAACTATGCAGTCAGCACTACAGCTAGTGTCATGATTTTGCTGTTTTTGTTCAATATCAGTTCTATATCACGCATTGTATTTATCGTATTAACCTCAAAATTTGTATAGTTGAGATACAAAATTTGATTTATTTGTCAAGATTTGTATAATTTAGAGCCATATGGTTCGAATGTAGCCATATATAGTAATATAGGTATATTTTGACCTTGGCAAGGCCAGGTGTTGTCGTGCGGATATATCGCTTTTTATTACTTGCCAATTCATGTTATATTTGCAAATCACTGGTTATTTTGAACCTAGTTATATTTCTCGTCATTTTAATCCAGTATATTAAACGTAAATGACCGTACTACTCTCTGCAGGACGACACGAATATCTATTGTTGTGACTGTTTACAAATATAAACTGTTTGCCGCCGCCTATACTCCTATAGGCCGCCCCGTTCTTTGAGAGTTTGAGCCTCTTGAGATCGGTATTCTGATGCCTTTCATCATATTGCAATGCCATTTCTGTGACTTATTCAATCCATAAAGCGACTGAAACAACGAAGGCTACGTAGATTCACTCCAAAACGAATTTACACTAGGCTGTTTGATAATATAATTATATAGTATTTAATATTTTAATATACCTGACTTTGTGTAGTTTAAATAAGCACGATATTCGCACAAATTTACATTCAACAGTTATTCTTTTGAAAGATTCATCAATGTCATACAGTTTTCAATGAAAAGTGGTATTTCAAACCTTTAAAATTCCAGTTTATTGAGTCCGCTCCAGAAATTGCAATCCGCTCCAGAAATCGAAACGGATTCTGCCAGGCGCCTCACCATGAAATCGATCAAATTAATCCACGCGGCCCACGCAAAGCCGCGCAAGCCCAGAACAACACATAGCGCCTGGGTACGAGGCTGCCATCTTAGGATGTAGATAAAAATTTCAAAGCCCATCCAATCTTACCAAATTTATTTTATGACCCACCCACCCAATCTAAATTGGGAAAATACACATTTATAATGAACAAAACTTGCAGGTATGAACATATATCAATACAGTGCCGGTGTATATCTTTATTTTTGTATCTGCGAAGCAGATTCGAGCTTATATCATTAAGCCAATCAGCGATTAGCTTACATCGTGCTTGCACCTAACCTGCGAACGGGCGTAGTTTGGCCTCGTGTATTAAAGTCGTGTTATTCACTTATTCTTTTCCATATTTTGGCTTCAAAAATATCTTGATTTTATCTTGAATTGGCTGTCTTGTTTTCACCATTCTACTTGTGATATTATTCCGAAGTTATCTATCAACATGGAAACTTATCCTCATCTGGTAAGTAGTCAAATACCACATATTTTATTATATACATTTATACAGTATAAAAACAATCATTGTGTAATATTTTAAACAGTCAAAACTCTCTCTGCAAGCATTAATATATTGCCAATTAACAATATCACAAGAAACTATTGTTCTCAGGAGATATTGAATTAAATCCTGGTCCTGTATTTCTGTAACTCTGTTCAAAACAACAGTCCAACTAAGTTGTCATCAAATGTAGTGTTAGAGCAAAGGTAAAGATGTCATCAGATAAAATTGTACTTATACATTTTGGTTTTACACAATAATAGAGTTAATTAAACAAAATTGTTACAACCATTTTCAAATGCTATTAAAAGAATCCCCACCCTCCTTCCTCATTACATTGTCATTTTGCTTTCTAATATAAATATTTTTGTTTAGAGATTAATACAAGAATGATGAATACATGTACTGATCTACTGGATATTGGCTGGATAATTTTGTCAAAACAACCCACTTGCAAGACAAACTTACCTAAATTCATTAGTTTGGAAAATAACTTAACAGCTACAATAATCATATATTATATGGATGGATCAGATCAACGGCACACAATGTACAAAACTAAATTTGTGATACCTTCTACTCAAACAGATATTCTCCCACAACACAAATTGTTTTTTGTGTGGTTATGCTGAGTTAAACCGAACAGTGTGGCATATATCATTAACTGTGCACAGGATTGGAATTGAATTATATACTTCACTCATGACCTTCAAAACATTCTCTACTATTCAGTGGTCTTCGGTATATGATTGACTCTTTGCTACAGTAATGTATGTCCCTGGATTAGTTTGTGTATGTTACTCAACAGTTAACATTGGCAAGTGTAAACAACAAGTGACAGAACTTTTGCTTCATATGATTACAATAAAGTTTTGAAAATTTGATGAGTATGGATTGACAAGTGACAGTTTACTAAATAGCCAGCTGTATAGACACTTCGAATAATCACATTATAAAATTAGTTAAATTTTCTCGGCGGGGAGGGGCATTTCCCCTGCTGCCCTCCGTGCAGTGTACAGCCCTGTTAGATTTGTATTATGTTTGACTTTAAAATCTTATTTCCTATAATATTTATCCAGACCTTGTTCAATGTTATCTGCCGAAGCCAAAGGCTGATAACATTGACCGAGGTCTGGGCATTACCTGATATCATTCAAAAGTCGAATTCAATAATTGTTTTATTATATCATTGTTATAAATTCACATTCAAAATCAAATCCCAAGACAATTTTCAATGTCGTTGTAGGTAGCAAGATATTGAGAATTGTCTGTTATTTCTTAGCCAATCACAATCGAGATTGCATCACCATTCACAATTATTTTCTGTAACTTACACTGACCAAGTATGTCACTATGCTAACATATTTTTTATGAAATTATAAAAATGATACCCAGATCGAGGTTCAATAATAGAAACTATTCATAGTTACCTTGTCCAGAAAACTGTTTTATTCCATTGTGCATTTTCATGAAGTGAGGCACATGGTTACAATAAGATTACATGATTACAATAAGGTTTTGAAAATTCGATGAGTATGGATTGACAAGTGACAGTTTACTAAATAGCCAGCTGTATAGACACTTCGAATATTGTTTGCATGAAATTTTTATTTCCTGACTGCATAATTATTCGCTACAAGCATAATCACATTATAAAATTAGTTAAGACAAGTGACAGTTTTAGTTAAGACAAGTGACAGTTGCTATAATATTTATAATAAGTGATGATAGTAGATATGGGTTTTTGTTTGGTGGCCCAACCGTGGACATACAAAAAAATTGGTGGCCCATCGAAACTGCCCAAAGATTTTCCATGGCCCATCCCAAATCACTCCGGCCCACCCTAGCAGTTACTTTATGACCGGTCCCTTAGCCATATTTAATTTAAGGGAATTTCCCATTGAAATCGCTTTGCCCCGCTCAACTTTCTGTGTAATTGCCTATCCTGTGCATTTTTTGTCCGCCTGAATGCTCGCGGACACGCCATGAAAGTAGAACTATACATTCAACTTTCTTGTCGTGTCCGCGCGACTGATTTTTCACGTGATTAAAATTGGTCACTCCACCCGCGCGGGCAAAGCGACTTTAATTACCTTCGTATTAAATTTATGAATTAATTAATACTAATTATGCACCCCAAATCTTGGGGGGCTGTATTGTGATTGGTCAATCAAAACAATCATGCCGAAGACCATTTGCCCAGCCGTTAGATGGGAGCGAGTGCCGAGAACCCTAACGGCTGGAATCCGAGCCTATAACATCGCAGCCGCTATATATATTACAACTTACGGAGTCCATTTAAAGTATGGTCCATTTTGAGAAAAGGTCCATGGAAAAGGTTGCCTAATGGGCGTGCAGTTAAGGTTAATGGGCCACTTGCCTTATAGCGATGCCTGCTATGCATGACTGTAGGAGTCGTCACTTTGTAATCGAACGGCATGGCGACTGTAGGAGCGAGGGATTTTGTTTTGAATATGAAATGGCGGATTTTTAACTTACAACGTTTTGCATCCATTGATAACTTTTATCCACAGGAAAACAACAACCCACCGGGCACACGACGTTGTTTCAACGTTGAGATTTGGTTGAAAAAGGTTGTGACGTCGACAACCTAATATCAACGTTGTTCTGATGTTGTTTACCGCAAACTTTGGTTCAACAGCAGCTAACAGACGTCGATCGAATCAACGTTCATTCATGGTTGATTATACGACGTCAACTTGTGAAGTAATCTCAACGTTGTTTCAACGTCAAAAGAGTAACGTCGATCCAATTTGCACTTTCAATCCTTTTCAACGTCTATATCCAACGTCTGGGAGATCATTTCCGACGTTGATTCAACGTTGAATAAACGTCGTTTTTCCCGCTAGGAAGAGAGCTCTGAACTACATCTAGCCTACATGTAATTTCATCACGTTACGTGTATTAATGACAAAGAAAATGCACTGACAAGGAGATGACATGTGAACATATTTCGCAAAACATTTCTTGCAAAAAACTGACCTGACGAACAAAAACAGTTAAGTTTTAAATTAAGATCGGATTTTTTCTTCAAAATTAACTTTCACTGGCATTTGTTTGTACTGATTCTCTATAGGTTATTTGGATTCGATAAGTTTATGAATGCCTTTTTAAGGTTTCACCTTTGTAAATTTGACAACCTTTATTGTCATGATTTAAATGTTCGAAGTTTTAATCCAGAGGCAGAGACCAAGCGTCTCTTTGAGGGATACCAGATTTTAAGTTTGGATACTGGACATCACAAGCTCAGTATCCATTGGGATACTAAACAAGTGTCTGTCCTCCACAGATAGTGTATTTTTCTGTACAGTGTAGTAATACAGTATATGAATCCTTTATGAACACATCTTTAAAATTAGATTCTTTATATCATCAAATTCATCTCAACGGACAGACCATAGAAATAATAGACATAGAATGCGTGCTCCTATCTTTTCTCAGTAAAAAATTTGTCTCGACAAAATGGCGCATTGAAGAGGGCATTTTGGTTGGTCCCAGACTCCTGAGGCAGGGAATTTCGCGCGGTTGCAGGGAGTGCGGATTGTTTTTTCAACTGAAAAGTTTGCAAAAAATTTTATATCGGGGCTTAAAATGGAAAAAAAGTTTGGTAAAGAAGAAAAAGTGTCTAAAAACCCATTCCAGTGGGCTTTCTTAGGGGCGGACCATTAGAAATCCCGGGAGGGGGGTATAAAATTTTTGCGGCACGAATTTTTTTTTCAGTCTCATGTCTCTGCAGGAATTTTTTTTAATGCATTTAACCTCTGCACGAATTTTTTTTCAAGACTACTTGTACTTTGCTGTTTGCTTGCACGAATTTTTTTTCTCTGACGTAATGGCTGCACGAATTTTTTTTCCAGGCATTTTTCTTTGCACGAATTTTTTTTTTCGAATTTTCACCGGCATGTAGTAAAACACTGACTACCGGAACACCGGAACACCACCGGAACACCACCATTTTGTTTGGGGTTAGGGTTAGGGTTTGGGGTTAGGGTTGGGGGTTAGGGTTGGGGGTTAGGGTTGGGGGTTGGGATTAGGGTTAGGTGGTGTTCCGGTGTTCTGGTGGTGTTCCGATGGTGTTCCGGTGGTGTTCCGGTGTTCCGGTAGTCAGTGTTTTACTACATGCCATTTTCACCCCCCCTCCTGGGATTTCTAATGGTCCGCCCCTTACGAAACGCAATAGTTCTGAACAGAATATATGCAGAAATCGTCGTTTAAAAATAAATTTTCAACGTTATGTTGTAGTGCGAGCCAAAACAAAACACGAAAGATCAAGACAAACTCTTTTATAATATAAATGGAGTTCAATAATCTTTTTAAACTTACACAATTATATTTCATATTTTTCTACTTTGCTTGAGCTTGAGGCAACGCTTTTGAAACCATGGTTTTCGACGATTATTTTTAGGCAATTTACAGTTTATCGACAACTAAATATTTTTGTTTCAAGAACATGAAAACACTTCGTTTACATTGAAGAAAAACGAAACCCGACGAAGAAAGAACTATCATTTTGTAATCTTATAAGATATTGGCAAAACAGTTTAATATACGTTCAGAGCATGCAAAAATGTTTTTAGTTATGAGTAAATTATATTTTCGCGAATCTACTTTATCAGTTACAAGGCTGCACGATTTTCACGGTTTTGTAACTGCACATTTGCTTTAATAGTTTGTACCTTCAAGGAACTCAAAATCTATCCCCAAACTACAAATTAGACAACAAGACAAAACGTTTTGACGATGAAAACGTAGTTTTAGCTTTGTTTATACTTTGCACTCCTGGCCAAAATTCAAAATGGCGCATTCAAAAGGGCACGCGCACGCGGTGAAAATGTGGAGACATGATTCGTCATCAGCACGCATTCTATGTCTATTATTAGACAGATTTAGATCGAGGACGCGAACGTCAAAGACGACGTGAAAATGGCGTGGCATATCCATACATGGGCACAACACGCCATTTTCACGTCGTCTTTGACGTCCGCGTCCTCGATCTAAATCTGTCTATTTCTATGGGACAGACACGCATGTAAATACTAGCGCGTGCTCATTCACTCGAACAGAGCGTTGCGTCACCAACAAGGATCACTGAAAACACGCAATCAATGATAGATTTAATTTTCGTGAACAATCAGCCGCGTGTTGTTTCAAGCGGAATTTACCCGTTATCGATCAGCAATCATTCACTTATTTATTGCTCGAATGAAGCAGGAGTCCAAAAATCAGGCGGATGTCATCGAGACATTAATTACCGTTGTTACAGGCATTACGACAAAAGTACTTTTGTTGATGATTTAGAAAAATCAGATTGGACTTTCGTTGATTCGTTAGACGACATTAATGAAATCCTAAATAAATGGTGCGACACATTTTTTTGAATCAGTCAATAAACATGCCCCAATTAAAACCAAAAGAGTAAAAGCGACTGTGAAAGCGCCATCGCCGCCATGGATGACTTCTGAACTACTTGAACTTATGCGTGAACGTGATTTCCATTTAGATCATGCCCAAAAATCTAACTCCGCGGGTTATTATTAGATTATTTACTGCGAACTTAGAAATTTCATAAATCAACAAGTTAAGATATGTGAACCCAACTATACTACCAAAATTTCATCACTAGCTAGTAGATAATCCTGGTGAACTTTGGAAAACCGTCAATGAAATTACTTCCCACAATCCAACTAAAACCACTCCTTCGTGCATTTTGTTTGAAAACATCCCAGTAACAATCATGAACGACTATATTTCACGTCTATAGGGACTAAACTTGCGAATAGAATTAAAGAACAATTCAAACCAAAGTTACGTTCGTCTACCACTACTCCCCTTTCATTCCAGTTCGAAGAAGTCGAATTCACAAAGTTCAAACTGTTTACAACTTTGAGTTTTGCGGTTCATTATCGATGTATATCTATATATAAAAAGTTAAGAAGGATTTTCAAAACATTTGTGTGATAATTATTGCAAAATTTAAACACGACAAAATCATAATATTACCTTCTATAGTTTAGCGCAAGCGGGTTTGACACACATTTAAATTCGAGGTAAATTGTTCTTTTTCAAATTTTGAAAGTCATTCACGTCACAGATTTCTGTTGTGATGGCTTTTTTTCCTTTTATAGTTTGTATATTTAGGTAATTTTGATTCAATATTCTTCTTTGGGTATTAAGTACGATTTAAAATGACTTGTGTTTGCGTTTGCTATTTTTAGCATTTCGTGACTTAAAACTGACATTCGAACACGAAAATGGGTGTAATCGTGTTTCAGGAACTGAGCAAATTAAAAACTAACAAGGGTACTGGCCTAGATGAGATTAGTGCTAAACTGCATGTTTAAAGACTCCGTTTGCGTTATTGCACCAACTCTCACAAAGATCTTTAACTTCTCGCTATACGCTGTGGTTCATTCCTCGAAGAAAGGTAAAGTTACCCCCATCTGGAAGAAAGGTAAAGTTACCCCCATTTACAAATCTAGCGATCCAACGTCATAGAACAACTATAGACCCATCACTATTCTACCAACTTTGAGCGTATAGTCCACCGTCAAATTTACAATTATCTACAAGAGCATAAGTTATTGACTTCTGAACTATTCGGTTTTCGCTCCAAACTCTCCACCATTGTTGCCCTGGCTCACTTTAGTGAAGAAATACTCGTTAATTTTGACAACAAAAAGATTACGGGCGCCGTTTCCGTTGACCTACGAAAAGCATTCCACACAGTTGATCACACAAAAAAAAATTAAAATCGATTGGATTCTCTACCTCTGTTCTTGAATGGTTTACATCATATCTATCGAATCGCACTCAAGTAACAACCATCAATAATTTAATGCCTACGCCTAAACCAGTTACTGCAGTTGGTGTTCCACAGGGAAGTATTCTCGGTTCTTCTCTTAATTTACCTTAATGACCTACCTGAACGCCTCAAACACTGCAAGTCGATACTTTATGCTGATGATATACACTTCTATACTATTCTGCAGACAATATCTCAGAGCTTCAGTCAAAACTCAACTCCGATCTTCAATCCCTCTCCACTTACCTGAACCTCCTCACACTCAATCATGACAAGACGAAATTTATAATCTTTGCTGGTAGACAACGTTTAAAAACAATCTCTAACATCGACAACAATATCTAGGATCGAAAGATTAAACAAGATCATGCATTGGAATACCTGGGTATCACGATCAGTGAAAATCTCTCATGGAATGAATATATCGAGAACTTGACGAGCAACATCAGTCGAAGACTAGGAATGTTGCGCCGAATCAAACCATAATACTATACCACTAAATGCAAGATTAGCTTTCTATACCGCTACAATTCTACCGTTATTCGAACGAGACATTATTTATGGTGACAAGAACAACACTGGACTCGTGAACTCTTTACAAACCTTAGAAAATAAAACCGCTAAATTGATTCTAGATCCTCCTCCCTCTTCAGCGACTGACGCTTTCGCTAACCTTGAATATGGTTACTCTTTCCTCCCACAGACATAAACATCGCTGTATCTTCATCTACAAATGTACTAATGGACTGTTCGATTTTGACTTTAAACTAACAACTAACAACTGTATTCATTCCTACAACACAAGATCCTGCAACAACCTTCATCTTCCGAAAGCCAACACGAACTGGGGTAAACTTAGACCGACTTACTACGTTTCGAAGGACTTAATTCAACAATTCGAACCGCTCCGCGTTACAAACGTCAGTTCTCTGTCTCAATGTGAGACTCAATTAAATCTATACTTCGTACATAGACATAGTTATTTGCATGCTTGATATATTTTAAATATATGTGTACAGTTTAGTTCGTGGGTGTGCATCGTGCCTCTACATATTAATTTTGAGCAATAGTATCTTAACTTCCTGACTACAGAATCGATTGATTCTTTCCTTACCATTTGCGGCACGTTACATGCTTACTGAATAAATTAAATTTTTGATGAATTATATATTAATTGTTCTTTTATCATTGTTGTAACGTTGTAATATTTAAATAATTGTAATTTTGATGCAGGACCCCACTGAAAAGCACGTAAGTGATATCCTGATAAGCAACCAAAAGCAGATATATGTAGACAACCTAAATTTTCACCCCTGCATGGTGTTCCAAAGTTGTTAAAACTTTGTGTTCAAAACATAATCGCTCGCTCCTACAGTCGCCATGTCGTTTGATTGCAAAGTGACGACAAGTTTCCCATTGTCTCTGGTAAATATGAGCTCTCTCGCAAGTTATATAATAACTGTTTTTTTACTTACCATGTCTTTATATCTACTTTTAAGAACATGTTCGTGATAAGTGTTATTTATTGAAAGGACGCATAAAAAACATGATGCATTTAACTACTAGAAAGTTGTCCCATTCCACAATTATGCAGTCCCTACCTCATGTGATCCTAAGAAGTTGAACATGCACCTACTATATAACAGTGCTTAAAGACGACGAAAGATTGAAAACAATGAAATCTTGTAAAACAATAACTTCCTTTAATTAATTAATTAGTTAAGAATGAAGAAGATTAAACATTTTTGTTTTCACTAAAAACCTAGGAGTATTTAAGGTGGCTCCCTACAGTTAATACAGTTTAAAATACGATTTATATAGATCAGACTTCATCCTCGCGACCTGCGCGTGGAATCGTCGTGTTCACTGTTCGGGCCGGTTCGGCAAAAATATTGAAACAAGCCGCGGGAAGTTTTTTGGTGTTTTTATCTACAAAGAAAGCTCCAGTTTTTCATTATAATCCTAATTTTTTCTGAATTCGAACAGTACGTATGTTATTAACTAGTTTAACCTATCTTTTAGTGTGTTTTTACGTATTTAAGTTCATAATGCTCAACATTTTCAACTTGTTGTGTTGCGAACTGTCAATCTGAAATGATACTGTCTTCTAAGAACTCTTGAACAGTAGTGAACTGTCGCCGAAACTTATGTAAGTCCTGTCAATCAATTCAATTCACAAGTATCGTTTTATCTGCTAAATCAAATAAAACAGTTATGCGTTGTTTTATATGAAAAGCTAAACTTGTAGTTCGATGTTTTGAAAAGTTTTCACACCGATTTTAACAACAAAAACAAATGTAAAGAAACACTGAATTTAATACAATGCGTAATAGTGTTTCTATTATTAGTTCTCGTGTTTTCTTCGGTGAATTTTTTTTAAACTTTGTCTTTTTGTTATACAAGACGAGTGGCACAACATATCCAAATTTTAAGAAATTCTACTTTTTCTGTAGCCGTTATTCACGAATATCTCGAAAACTTATTTGTAAACCTCCCTTCAAATTTTGATATGTTTTTCCTTTATGAACCATAAATCTTCAAAACACAATTCAGAAAAATTCACCGAAGGAAAATATAAATATTGTCAATTTATTGTGAAATTAGTCAATAAAGGTGCAAAAGATTAAACGTCATGGTTGCCATGGCAACACGAACACTGTTTTAATTTGTTCATAAATGAACAGCACACAGCTTCTGAACTTTCCTGGAAATGATCATATTGCCCTGTCTTAAGTGTATTTAATATAAATTCGGTTGAAAGCGAACGTTGCTCAAAATACATAGCATTGTAGAGAACTGTAGGGACCCACCTTAAGAAAGCATCTGCCATCGTCTCATCAGCGCACCTTGACAAACAGGTGTCAAATATACGAGTCATCGCGAATAACAAAAGAGGCCATTTTCCTGGAGTCTTACTTCAAGTTATTGTTGGGAGACGTGTTGAACAATTTAAACATTCATAATTATAATTTTGCCAAGACAGCCTATAGAGTTGTCCTTCTCCACTCTAATTATGGGGTATAAGAACTATTGAAAGGATTAGCATGCCAAGACTGCTTATATCGACGATTATATTAAGACCTCAAGAGATATATTACATACTATGTAATATTTAAAGTACTGTATAAACAGAAGAAAAAGAGAAACCATGCCATTACATGACATTCAAAGGCCTTCATGTGTAGCTTTCTTCACGTCTACAACTATTCTCTAAAAATGTATACGGAGTAATATAAAAAGAGCGCTGTACCTCGAAATTCCATTAAATCATTCTATAATCTTCGTTAAAACAATAAGAGATAAGAGAAGCGATTCAGACCTTTCCAACAAGTACCAGCACTTCTTTCCAGATAATGAAAACGTGCCACTACCAGAAAAAAGAACAAAGTATGACAAAGGATGTTGAGATTAAGCCATGGGTGAAGTGATGAAGATGCTAGCAGGAAAAAAGGAAGCATGTGTGAATAATGTCTTTATAAGTCTTTCAAAATACGCATCTTGATTTTTATAACTTAGCAACACAGTCAGAAAGGCGGTATTCATGAAGAAGAAAAATTACGACTGATTTGCGCTGTCCAGCCAAAGGAATTTGCTGGATCACCAGTTAACAAGCAATGTTTTTTAGTCGACCCAACCCCATTTGGAAACAAACACTTTGGAATGCCGAATCGGTGTTTTGTTCGCGTACTTGCTAATTTATAAGTTATACAGTGTAGCACTACATTATACTTCTTTCTGGCTGGAATACAATCCATTTTTTTCGTATAGGCAATAGCATGGTTTCGAGTGCAATTTGGATATAACATGCACGAGTGAGTTTTTCAAAGACCTCAAAATAGCACGATGTTTATCCAAATTTCACGAGAAACCATGCTATTACTTATTAATAATTTACATAAAAATGTTCGAGACAATTGTAGTTTTAACTTAGTTTTATATAGCGAACATTCCACTGGCAAAGTTTTCCTGGCTTTGTTATAGGCGTATCACATTATATGCAACGCTAACAGCTTGAAAATTCCACTCCCAACCAGATCAGTTTGTTACAGATTTTTGCACTGTTGTTACAGATTTTTTGCACTGTTGTTACAGATTTTTGCACTGCTGTTTGGGATTAAATGCACTGAAATCAACCAATCACAGTCGAGTAATATTTTTTATGTATATTATTAATTCAATTAAAGTATGCATTTCGAATAATGTTGAGGAGAAATGTCATTCAAGTGGATACGATTATACTGCTACCACATATCATGAATCTGGTAAGGCATCTATACTTCCACGCGTCTTATCAACAAACCATAGGTGGATTTTTCGAATAGTATGTCTTGTCATTCGTGCGAAAAAGTGTAATCGTTAATGAAAGGCTTTGATTTTTGTGAACATTTTATTGTTACAATATGCTATGATAACATTCTGCTCCTATATAGAATCAAATGAAATTGATGGATACTTAATAAGCACTCAGTTTCACCAATAAGATTATATATATGTCCCTCCTTAGGAGGGTCGGCCTCCTTTATTCATGTACTGTACAGACAAATATAAAAATTGTTTCCTTTGCACTTGAATTGAATGCACTTTAATTATTTCTAACAAGCAGATAGTTCACACGAAATGACGATGACGCTGAACTGCACCAACCGTTGTCACTCGATGAGTCAAGAGGATACTATAATTATATGCTGATTCAACTGCCTCATTCCCATGCCTGCGCTTTTACGAACTAAATGAAATTCCAACTGCCCCTTCGTGTGCTGCATGGCATGACCCATCCAGTGCAGATGACTTGCATTTTTGTATTGAATGTTTCCATCACTGTATGTATTGACGCACTGTATTGCCAGAATGTTGCCAATTTATTAGGTCACAACGTAAATGCGATCACACACCCCTCGTTGAAATCAACTTCGGTTGACGGGGTCAGCGTGTTTAAATAATTATTAATTAAGGTTTAATTTCATTCGTTCGTTCATTCATTCGTTCAAGTTAATTGTTGCCTTGTTCGCCTCAAGACCCTGTACTCCCTGCGGTAGCAATTAGATTTATTTAGCACTGGTTAATTGAAGAGCTACAACTTTATTTCAATGAAAGTTCTTATATATGGCATTTGTATTGTTTTAGGGATGTGCAACGTATTGGGAGTTTTGGCAAGTTTAAAAATTTGCAAAGACTGTGGCTTAACGGAAATAAGGTTACTATAAGAATTGATTTGTCAAAATATTCATTTTTGGCAGCTAAATTTGTTATTCACGTAATCCATAGCCATAGGTTTCAACTATGCCCAATAATTAAAATTTTTTTGTCCAATTGTAATCAATGCATCCATTATTGGTGTTTGAATTCAAGTGACATATTATCATGCTTAAAGGGGAAGTCAAGTCCGTAATGTAAACAAACGGTTTGTTTACATTTTGAACTGCTGTATTTTTTAAAATATGATGTACTGTCTGAATATCTAACACCATTTTGGTTCGCTATGCTTCTAAATGAATATGAAATAGAGTTTATGTTCAAAAAAATTCGAAACATTCGAAATTTGGGCAATGTTCACATTAGAGGTCCTCACATTGTTATGAGCAGAACCGATGCGCAGAACGGACTTGACTTCCCCTTTAATGTTTTCAATGATAAAAATGATACTTATCGATTATAATTCGATACTCAAATCACCTGTTGTCTTCAATATATTTTTAGCGTACATGCATGGATACTATATAATGGGTGCCTTAATTTTTTGCAATTCTAGGCGTATATTCATGCATAATTGTATCATCCACCATTTGTTTGCACTGAGTATTTACTCGGTTGACCGTTTTCATTTTGGTAGTTAAGGAGGATTAACTGTCTTCATGAAAACTTTCGCTTGACGGAGCTTTATCTCCAACATAACTTGCTCGTGGATATTACTGGATCTCTTCGCCATCTCACAGAATTGCAAGTTTTGATGTTGCAAGGAAACCAGTTAAAACACTTAACAGACGTAATTCACGAATTGGGAAGAATGCAAAGATTACAAGTTTTGAGTAAGAAATTAGATAATTTACTGGAAATGTTGTCTTAGGGTAGTGCGTGCGCGTTCGGCTTTTAGTTATGACTGAAACGTTATGGAAAATCACCAACTAATTCGTTCATGTTGTTCAAGAAATATATAATCCTCTAATTGTTCTTTTGAGCGATATTTTACCCGTTTATTAATGAACATATCGGAAATTATTAACGTAAATGAAAGATTTGCATTTGTCTAAGCATTGTTGGGTATGCCTATACTGATATGAAAAATCCTAAAAATTTCTTCCAAACAATCTCAAAAGATAATAATTTATACTATATATAAATTCAGGAGAAAATAACGGAGATTTCAGAAAAACCGTCAGAAGTCAGAAAAATCATAAAGGATAATCCTTATGCTATACGCTTTTCACATAATACTTATACCATCATTGCCATTATGCATGCTTTTCACTGATATTAAGAGAAAAAGGCACATTTTTTCTTCATTGACTTATTTAAAGCATGCGCTGATAGCTTCATGCGGGCGCTTGAAGTATATAATGCGTGGGACTAATAGATGTATATGCATGTGTGTTGCCTTACATTCTAACGATTTTGTAATAATTTATTGGCATGTTATGTGTTTGACGTCAAATACCAGGTCGACAATGCTCTAGAAAAATATCGTGAGTCAAGTGCTGAAATAAAATTATGTTGCATTCTGCAGATCTCTTTGGCAATCCTTTGGCACAAGATTATGACTATCGAAATTATGTAATTCACAATATTAAATCTCTTCAACGCCTTGATCGCCGAGGTATTTTGTTCTTTATCGCTGTATCGCTTTGGTTTCTATCTATTATTGATGTTTTTCACGATCGATATTTTTTCAGAAATTTTGAAAAAAGAAAGGGTTATTGCTCAAAAGAGATACGGAGATGAATGTTATGAACGGCTTAAAGAAACTTTAGCCTTTGGAAGTCGAGTTCCAACCACGGAAAGTAAAGTCAGTGACTCTGAAGTGGTGTCCCATAGAGGTGTTACTGCCGAGAAATCAGCACAATGCATTCAACAAGGTATGGAGTGTGAACTTAAATTATTTTTGTAATAAATTGTCACCCTTACTTACCTATATACAAGCTGTGTTTCGTGTTATATTTTACAAAATGAACAACATACTTCATGCATATATTAAGTTCCTTGGAGTTTCGCATGGCGAATACTAATATCAGTTTTGGTTTGTGAAACACCACGTAAATTTATTATTTGCATAAAATATTCTGATCATGCAAATAATAAATTTACGTGGTGTTTCCACAAACCAAAACTGATATTATATTTCATACGTCAGCAATTCGCTTGAAGAAATGTCTAAGTTCAGCTATTCTATCTTTGAACTATCTTTAAGTGTAAGTGTAACCTGGGTTTTAATAATCTTGAAACAGGGCAATGCAAATGTTTAAGAGGCTGTCTCTGTAAGAACCGACCAGTGATTCTGGGATTGTCATATTTTTGTTAATTGTTAGGCTTAGTAAGCATACCATGGAATCGCACTTAAAATTTTTCAACTTGTGTTTTCCCCCGAGATTTTCAGCTTTTTGTCCTTAAGCCAAATAATAGCGGTTTTAGCGCTTCACTGAGTTCACTCGACACTTTTATACCGTCCTATAGCACAGTCGCATGATCGATTCTCTGAATTGTTTAAACTTCAACGTTTTAACATCACGTGTCTGATTTTATTAGGTTCGAAACGCATTTAATTTATTATTTATCGGAGTCTGCTTTGAACAGTTCTTCCGTTATCGGCTGTGCCATCAAACGTATAGGTCATTGTGCGATCGTTTTTCTCAAAAGTGTCACCATTTACAAACTCTGCCTCGGAGGATTTTGGAAGTACTAATGATGCACTATATTCTTATCGAAAAATATTCGCGAGGAAATAATTTGAAAATATTTTAATCGCGGCGTAAAGTTTCCTGATTTTTACCCAGACACCGGAAATGGCAATCAATTTCTAGCGAATATATTCCCAGGTATTTGGAGCAATTTTTAGCAAAGTCAATAAAAGGATCTAGCTTGTTTCTGTCTGCTCGAATCCTGTTTTGTTTGATTCTCGCCACTTCGTTACCTGGATCATTTAACTTAGCATGGACCCTTGCTTTCTTGATTTGCCATTTCGTTATTCTTCCGTACGGCTCGTGTATTTTCATCAGAGTTTCCGTTGGATATCTGTGCACATAAATAATCAAAATTTGAAGTTTTGCGTTTCCAGCGGCGGCAAATTGGTATGCAGACACGAGTACGACAAGATCTTGGACACCTGAGGTTGCGAAGAGTATACTGTCGCATTGAACAATTCCTCTCCAGCAAATGCGCAATATAGCCTCACGGACAACCATGCACACATTTGTTGCTTTTTCAATGCAGACATCTTTCTCAGTACTTCGTGTGTCGTTCCAGGTGATTGAAACGTCAAACTATCTGGTTTACCCTTAGATGTTACCAACGTTATACGAGTTATTGCTTCGTTGTATATTTCTACAGCATTAGGCTTTTCATTTTCACTGTTCTTCGCGACAGGAGTATCGTCTACGACACGGGTCGTTAAGATGTTTTGTGGCTGTTTTCGTTGATATTTCTTCTTTATATTTTAAACACCTGAAAACTCGGCGGAAGAACAACTTCAAGGCGGCCCAATATTGTTTTGGTCGTGTTCCCACATTGCGTATTTGTATACTTCACAGCAGGACGTCATAACGTTGATTATGACTTTCATATTCAACGTTATGACGTCACTCCGGTGAATATTATGTCAAAACTTCATATTTGGTCAGCTATTGAGTTGATATGACGATTTCACCGTTGATTGTCAGTCAACCTGACATATTCTTTCTTCGAACAACTAGAACTTGGAACTCTCTCCCAGAGCATTATATTTAAGGCTTAATTAATAATCTTTCTTTTATCAGTTCAATTTAAGAAAGGAATATTAGCATACTACTTGACTGACTTACGAACCTGTTACAACGCTGACGATTCACGAACTTGGAAGACTGTCTGTATCAAATGTAACACAAGCAGAAGTGTCATCCGACCATTAACCTGCTGTTACTAAAGGGGTGTTCACACATTGCAATTTGTCCTGTGCGATTCGTTTTCTGGTGCATAAATTTCATTTGCTGCCACAATTCCAAAAAAATCCGAATGAAGGTGGCTCGATATAGTTATCACAAGAACCCTATATGTCAATTGCTGACGTCATTAGAATTTTCCATTTTAGAAAAACAATGCGCTATATCTCTTTATTTTGTCTGGTGACCTATGTTCAAATTTTGCATGCTGTGTTGCACCGCTAAAAACTTTCATTATACAAAAAATAAAAAAATCTGTAATGTCAAAAAAATTTTACCGAAGAATATGACATTTTCGCATTTTCCAAAAAAATGGCATTACAGAATTTTTTTATATTTTGCTAAATGCTAAAAGCTTTTAGTCCAAGTAACATAATGCACGAAAAAAAATTGGGGGTCACCATGCTTCTTTTCCAACTATACGAGGCGATAGACCATTTTGGAGTGAATTTCGTACACGTATGTCGTCATAGCAACGAACTATCTGTTACTAAAACTAATATAATTTGAAAGTAGAGTTATCAAAATATATAAAAAAACCAATATTTGCTTTTTAAATCCTAAAAATGCGTAGTTTGAACATGTCAAAGTGTTGAACACCTGAATTTTTGAAAACTGTATCGAGCCACCTTAAGGTGAAATTTGAAATGCACAAATTTGCGCGTGCCTACCATAGAAATAATAGATATAGAATGCGTACTTGATCACGAATCATATCTCCACTTTTTCTCATGCGTGCCCTTGTATAAATCCGCCTTGGTAAATTTGTCTAGGAGTGCCAAATACAAAATATAAACAAAGCTAAAACTACGTTTTCATCGTCAAAACGTTTGTCTTGTTGTCTAATTTGTAGTTTGGAGATAGATTTTGAGTTCTTTGAAGGCAAAAACTGTCAAAGCAATTGTGCAGTTACAAAAACGGTGAAAATAGTGCAGCCTTGTAAAAACAAAGTAGTTTCGCGTAAATATAATTTACTCATAAAACATTTTTGCATGCTCTGAACGTCACTACTTCACTGTTTTGCTAATATTTTATAAGATTACAAAATAATAGTTCTTTCTTCGTCGACGAGTTTCGTTTTTGTTCAATTTAAAGAAGTTTTGCAAACTTTGCAGTTGAAAAAACAATTCGTACTCCCTGCAACCGCGCGAAATTCCCCGCCTCAGGAGTCTGGGACCAACCAAAATGTCCTTACAAATCCGCCATTTTGTGGAGACAAATTTTTCATTGAGAAAAGATAGGAGTACGCATTCTATATCTATTATTTCTATGGTGCCTACCCGATTTCATACGCCAGAATACGAGTCGTACACGGCGGATCGCGGTGTGTAAACGTACCCTAATTAATTAATTAAATAATGTTATTTCTGTTTTATTTTTATTGAAATTTTGTAAAGGGCCCACTGTAATTGGTGTTAAGCTGTTGTGGTGTCCCAACTTCTTTAATGCAATTGTTGTATGATGTTTGGAAGCGAAGCACAATAAATAAATAAATAAACCCTGGTGCCAAACTATCGTCCAATTTGCCTTCTGTCTTTAATCAGCAAATTGTGGGAGCGTTGCATCCCGGCTTAGGACGTTACTACCCGAGCTCATCCATCTCTTAACATCTGTACAGCATGGCGTTGTTCGAGGCAGATCTTGCGTTACGCAGTGTAAAATCAGTTCTTCACGACTTCGGTATCATTTTCCTTGACTTTAGTAAAGCCTTTGACTCGGTGCTTCATGGAAGACTCTTACATAAAATATCACTGTTTGGTGTCCAGGGTCCTCTACACGCGTGATTTACAGACTATACATTAATTCGAGATCTCAGCGGGTTGTTACTGATGGGACATTCTCCTCGTGGGTAACTGTAACATCTGGTGTTCCTCAAGGTAGTATTTTTGGAACCTTTCCTTTTCCTTTTGTACGTTAACGACGTGCCTGTTGTACTCGGCAAGACAACATCTGTTGGCCTTTTTGCTGATGATGCCAAATGTTCCCGAGTGTTTCGTGACCTGGAGGATTGTTCTGCTTTTCAGCGTAATTTAACCTCAGTATCTAAATGGTCTAACGATTGGGGACTATCATTTAACAGCAACAATTGCGAAGTTATAAGAATATCCAGAGAACGACGCAGTCTGTTGGAATTCCGTTAGTCCCTCCACCATGCATTGATGACCATGCATCCACTTGCTTTGGTCACCTCGTCAAAAGATCTCGGAGTCGTATAGTTAACAATAAGCTTACCTGGAACCGTCACATTTCTTCTGTTGTTGCCAAAGCCAACAAGACTCTCCGCTTTCTATATATACATCGGCATTTCGGTAATTCCTACATTGGACCTGCACACAGAAGATTACTGCATTTATCACTGGTGTATTTTCCACCTAAGTTATGCTAGCGAATTCTGAGCTCGCTGTCATGCAAATGCGATATGAAATTACTGCATGGAGAATGTAGTGAGGCGAGCTGCCAGATTCATTCTTAATTGTAGCGAAGATCCTAACGTCCGACCCAACTACAAGTCTCGCTTGATTTATCTGAATCTGCTTCCTGTTTCTTACTGGCTGGAGTGTCGTGATCTATGCTTTGTGTACAAATATATAAACGGTTTATTTCAATGTACGTACAGCATGAAGAATATACATTCAAATCTCAAGTGGCTGAATCAGGAGCTGTACTGTTAACTGGGTACATGTGCAAACTGCCACCGTACTTCAATATTTAGAGACTCCCTCTTCAATCGTATTGTGCAAGTATGGAACAATTTACCACTTGAAATTCGTAAAACAGCTACTTTCGGTTCCTTTTTGAAACTCGATTGTACAAACATTATTTCAATAGGCTGAATAACATTTTTGATACGGACAGAGTATTATAAGAACGTGGAAGACAATATGTCCTTATTGTAAGTCTATTGACGGACCTTCCTGCCGTTGAAAGTTACACGGGAAACAAGCAGCGAGGGGTGTATTTCATCCCTTGACTAGCAGGATACGTCATCTTCTATAACATGTTAGAAACCAGTTCTTATATATTTAAACTTATTTTACCTTCTACTTTCAGTAGTTGCGCTACCAGGCCAGGAATCATGGCTAGAGTTGACAAGTCAGTTTCATGTCACACGGTCATGAAGTTCAAATTGTTTACAACTTTAAGTTTTGTGGTTTGTTATCAATGTCATGCATGCATTGTACGTTTATATAAAAAAAAGTTTAGAAGAATTTTCAAAATATTTTAGTGATAATTATTGAAAAAAAATTAAGCACAACAAAATCATATATACTACTAAAGTCTAGCACAATGTGGGTTTGATACATAGTTAATTTTGACGTTAAATTGTTCTTTTTCAAACTTTAAATATGTGATTCACTGATTCACGACACAGATTTTTTGTTGTGATAGTCAGTCATTTCTTTTACAGTTTGTATATTATATTTTAGCTCATTTTGGGACAACATGCATTCTTCTTTAGGTGTTAAAAACGGTTTAAAAGTCTTTTGTTTACGTTTGCTATTTTAGCAGTTCACGTGACATGAAACTTTACATTTGAACTGAAATTATTTTCGGGTAGGTCGCATTGTTTTGAAAACGGGTTTAAAACAAAACATTATACGAACTTATTTCCAGTCATTAGATCCAAGTAATTGGAGTTTCGAAATTAGCGTCAGACCACAAAAATGGCGTATGCTAGCTGCTTAGTAGTATTTAGAGAACTTTAATACATGAGTATTTTCTGTTGCGCATGGGGTTTGCCTTGTTGGGACTTCGAATTCGTTTGCCAATCCCTTATCAAACTCGTCTTTTGATATTTGTAATGACTACTATTTTTGTTTTAACGTACACTGGAAAAAGAAAGTGGAATCCATGCTACGAAATTTGCAATTGCACCACTAAATCCATAGTATATCCATCCTATTTCCATACTATATCCTTATTATGAAATATCACAGGGAGCCCAAGCGTTATTATTCGACACGACACTCATTGTGTTGTATCTTTTTCAGTTTATTTATTTTGTGTCTTTATATTGCTTTTTAATTGAATTATAACACTACATTACACTAATATGTTATATAATAATAATACTCCTGTAGTCGAACATATAATAACAACATATAAGTTGATTTGTATTTGTATGTTTTTCAGTTTATTTATTTAAGATCTATTATTAGATTATATAAAAGCACCGCCTTTCGAACCTGACAGCCCGTTCGCAGGACACGCGCGTTATTTGCACTGGAAATAGGAAACGAGACAAGGGATGAAATTACAATACGGGAATGTTTTATTTTGAAGCCGTATGTGCTTGTTAAAACGAATTTTAGCTTGAAATTCGGCTACATGATATGTCTAAGGCTAAAGTACATAGCCATTGAAAAATTTTGTGAAATAAAAGCCCTAGAGTCTTCTAAATTGCTATAGTTTTTAATAACGACGTTTCGTAGCATTACCGACTTGACTGGACCTAATGTATTTAATTTTAGATTTTAAACATTGAAGCCGTTACGGTCGACACAAATTGGCTTCTCACCTCGAGTTGTATTCGAGTTAGTTTCCTTGTTTATATCATTGATTCCCAAAGGTTGACGGCGTTATTCGACACGACACTCATTGCATAATTATCGGTCCACTCAAGTTGGGGCGTTCATAATACGATAAACTTTAAGAGTTTCATCCCTTGTCACATATTTATATCTTGCCCGCGCGTACCCTGCGAACGGGCCGTCAGGTTCGAAAGGCGGTGCTTTTAAATAATCTAATAATAGATCTTAAATAAGTAAACTGAAAAACATACAAATACAAATCAACTTATATGTTGTTATTATATGTTCGACTACAGGAGTATTATTATTATATAACATATTAGTGTAATGTAGTGTTATAATTCAATTAAAAAGCAATATAAAGACACTAAAATAAATAAACTGAAAAAGATACAACACAGACACAGATCAACGCTTGGGCTCCCTGTGGAAATATATAATTATTATGGATAACCAAAATCCATTCTATTTCCAATAAAGGTCCATACAATTTCCATTCAATGACCTTCTATGGTTTTCAAATTTTTTTCCAGTGGTATAGTTTTGTAAAGTTCGATTAGAGCTTATTATTATTTTTATATTATTATCAATCAGAAATCATGAATCTTTTAAATAAATAATGATTGTTAAATAATCACCTTCTTTATTCCGGTTTAGACTTGTGCTTTGATGCTGCTCATACTGTAATCTCTGCGGAAGTGGACAGGTATGCATGCTGTCAACTAAAAACACTATGGCCAACAGATAGGCTTGTGAAAGGGTATATGAATAAGAATAAGAGAAACAATAATAATTTTGGTTTAAACTCGAATTATGAGTTAACTATATATCGGAAAATAAATCAAGTGAAGCTATAAAATATATGCTTTTGCTCAAGTAAATTTTAAAACAGCTGTACCAAGATATAAGGTAAAGGAGTGAATGGTTGCGTCCCACCCGAGCCTTTACTTATTTCTGACCCTAATATATAATATAATTATATATATATATATATATATATATATATATATATATATATATATATATATATATATATATATATATATATATATATATTAGTCCTAATAGATATCCTTTCACACTTCCGTCCCCATATAGTATTATGCATGCACCAGCCTCACACATAAATCGTCAGTTTTACATATAACGTTTTAGTCTTTGCATCGAACAGTTTTTTATACATGGTTTTTGTTAGCATGATACAAAGATCAACATTAAATTTGAAGAAAGAGAAGAGCAAATCGTTTTCCGAACGACGAGAAACTCAAACAGGTCGGAGATCCCTTATGGAATATACAGCCTTTGATTGGTCAGCTATGCCATTGTCAGAAGAACGGCGGCTCGCTGAAGACTCAGATCAACCTATGAAAGTAGTGACTATGTATTTAAGATAGACTGCGATTATATAGGTTCTGAAATGTCTTTCTTGAAACTATTACTATGTTTTACAAGAATAACATTGAATGAAATTTCTCCATAATTTATGTTCCAGTTCAATATATAGCTATTGTGTAAATATTAATAATTAAGCCAGAGTCTCTGTTCAACTGATATTTAAAAGAGAACTACGTATACAGTATCATGCATGCTCATATTAATAATGCAGTTCGAAAGACGTATAGTCGATTAACGTGTGCCATTATTGCTCCCATCCATTCACATTTCCCTCACTTTGGACACAATTTCATTCAAGAAATGAATAATATGTAATATATATTAAGGGAAAATTCTAAGAATAATCCTTCCTCTTCGAGTGCGTATATATTGGTGAAGGTCGTGCATTACGACCCAAAAATACGGCCCTTTCGCAAAGTACGCCACTTTGCATGGCTATATATATGTAGAACCTCGTTTTCGTATAATTATGTAACATTATACTATATAGTTAAAGTCCCATGTCTCAAATACGAAAACCGCGAGGCTGTGAAACAAAGTGACGTATATTTTGCGAAAGCGTGCATGTATTCATTAAATATTATAGAATTATAAATGCCTACATGGTGACCTTTGTTGTTTATTTCTTATTTCTCCATGGAATACGTCTTGTCAATATTGGCTTTTAGTACAATTTTGGCTTTTAACATCAGATAAATTAGGCTACAATTTAGAAACATTGTGACATATTTTCTCATAATTCATTAAACAGGAAAATATAGTATACTATTAATATCTCTTTTTTTGAATAAAATAATTTTCTTATGTTGCTATATTGATTATTTTGTTATCTATCTTGACTTTGCGATTCGTTAACGGACGGCTACAAATATATTAAATTAATACAATTTTTGCGACGAGCTACTCGTGTTTGGTTGCTATGTGACAATTGACCGCCTTTAAGCTATTTTTAAATTAAAACAGCAATCAATAGAAAACGTGTTCGTTCATTGTGATTCTATCGCCTATATCGTTTTGATGTTTTCATCAACGGTTGTTAATCACGGCAGACAAGACTGTTTCTTGAGAAGACGTCGTGTCAAGTACACATGAAGTTACATAAATTATCTCGTCGATTTTGTCGAGCGAAAACACAGTTTTCATTTTATGGTATCTTAGTGCGATTACTATTCTTCTCTTTTGGGTTGAACATGTTATTTTTCTTCTTACAAAGACAGAGTAAGTTTTGTGGTACTGACAATTGTAATATATTTAAAATTTTTAACTATTTATAGCCAACCCACCAATAAGCTCAGCTATATAGGTTGACTGGCCTATATAGTCTACACAGGTCGGGACCGCGGAGCCAACAATATTTTTGTCTTTTTCTTCGGTATGTTACGACAAACCTTTATTTTTCATACTTTAATTTTTGGTATCTTCAAAAGATTACATGACCTTGGGATTATATTATATACGGCGTTACTTGTTAGATCTAACAATTGTTGATATCGTCGATCATCCTTAAGTTTTTGACATGTGATGTATTGTTTGGATTATTATGAAAAATTCAAATCGATTTTTAAATTAAAACTTCTAACAAAAACAATGTCATATTTAACTCGCAATGTTTTATACATGGTATATAATTATATTCAATCATCTGCGTTTAGGTTGCACACCTGAAGATAGCGCAATGTGTTGTGTGCATAAAACTACGAAAGCAAGTGACAAAAATACGACAGCAGAGAAAACGAAACACACAATTTTCCGTGTAAAAGATGGAGTTACGGTGACAAGTGATGATGCCGTGTTGGCAGGAAAATACTTCGACAAAAAAGGTATACGCCATCTCCCATGTCTTGAAATATAAGAATACGGAATTATAATGTCTAATGTTCACCGCCATTGGAGTCAGACCTTCGAAAAGATGGTCAAAATGTTCACCAAAACTTGATCAAAATATCAGGACACCTCCCCCCCCCCCCCCCCCCCCCCCCCCAAATGTAATTGACTTCGCGACGTCCCTGTTTATAGTCTAGGTCCCTGAATTAGTACCGACCGTTGAAACAAACATGTCAAGTAACTCGCGTTCAATGGAGGTTTGATCCATTGATTCTTCAATGGAACTTTCCCCTTTTGAGTGAAATTTTGATCTAGACAAGTCTGGGCAAAAATTTCATCACAACTTGAAAGAGCATCACAAAATTAATAATATTCCGAAGTTTCGTCGAAATGTTGTAAAATGCGGATAATATAGCCTTGCGAAGTTTGCCGTTTTTCAGTCATTTTGCATTACAAACGGGAAATTGATAATCAGATGATCAAACTGATTATCAATTTCCCATTTGTAATACAAAATGAC